GACTTTTTAAATAAAATTACAAATAAAATTTTAAGAAAATTAAAAATAAGTCTTTCTTTTTACTAAAACAAAGTGACAAATCTTTATTAATAAAGATAAGTCACTTACTCTTTTTAGTAAAAAGAAATAGTAAAAAGAAAGAGTGACAATATAATAATAATAATAATAATAAGGTATAACTGTAACAACTGTTTTAAACAGTTGCGAAGTGCAATAACATAAGATATTGCACTGTAACAGCTCATTTTGTCTTTTGTTTGTGTTTTAACAAATAGTTTCTGCAAAATCCAGCTCTGTCTAGTTTGTTTTTGAAGTTATTTATTGAAGTAGCTTCTATTATTTCGGATGGTTAGCTGTTCCACGCATTTACAACTCGATTTTGGAAAAAATGATACCTGAAGGTATTTCTGCTAAAAGGCTTCCTCATTTTGAATTTGTGTTGTCGCAGACATGGACCCTCCTCCAATGCATTTCCACAATCGTTAGCAACCCAATTTATTTTATCGTGGCCATGCTGAATTTTATATTGTTGAATTAGATCTCCACGTAGTCAACGTTCTTCCAGTGACGTTAATTGCATAATATTCAACCTAGCCTCATATGATAATTTCCTAATTGTAGGTGCTAGTTTGGTTGCTCTTTTTTGGATTTTCTCAATCTTGTCTATGTCTTGTTTTAAAAATGGAGACCATGCCTGGACCGCAAACTCAAGATGTGGACGTATGAACGTTGTATAGAGCATTTTTACCATGTTTACATCTAAATATTTAAAGCTTCTCTTTATGGTACCTAACATTCTGTTTGCTTTGCTGGTTGCTGAATCAACTTGTGAGTGCCATTTTAAATTGGATTGAACCATTATACCCAAATCGCGTTCAGCTTTTGTGTTACACAATGTATAATTGTAATTGCAATCAATATCAGTCATTATAAATGTAGCATTTGGATTTTTTTTCCCAATATGCATAACTTTGCATTTTTCATAATTAAATTTTGTGAGCCAAATAGATGACCATGCCATTATGTTATTTATATCATTTTGAAGGCTTATTGAATCATTAGGATTTTTTATAATATTTATATTTTACTATCATCAGCGTAAAGTTTAATAGGGTTTTTGACTTGATCTGGCAAATCATTAATAAAAATCAAAAACAGCAGTGGTCCTAAAACTAACCCCTGTGGTACACCACTAATAACTGGTAGCCAATCTGAGACTGTGTCGCCAAGGACCACTCTCTGTTTTCTGTTAGTTAAAAAGTTCTCTATCCATCCCAGATAATTTCTCACAATACCATATGATTGAAGTTTAGTGATCAAACGCGAGTGTGGTACTTTATCGAAAGCCTTTTCAATGTCTAGATACAACATATCAACTGAGTGGCCATTTTCTAGTGCATCTGTTATGATATCAAGAGTTTCCAATAGGTTTTATAATTGTTTATGATTTATAATTTTATGTTTATTAAACAATATAAAATCATAAACAATGAAAATAAAAAAATCAGAAATAAAAATAAAATATAATTTAAAAAACACATCACCATACATATCACTATGAATCAGAAAATGCTCGATTGATACAACAGAAAATGCTCGAATTTATATAGAGTTAAAATTAACATTTAAAACCACATTATAACACATTAACAAATATTCATCAAATAAACTGCAAACCACGCAATCATCCCCAGATGTTCTTGAGCTTTTTCCTTATAGAATTACGAATATTAATTAGTAAAACTATTGAATCTAAAAAAGCTGTTTTATGGCTGACTTGTCTTCCGTGTGAATAAATAAAAGATGGCGTATAACAAAGACGATTTTTTATACTTGTTTTCTTTTTGAAAACTTACTAGGAACTTACTAAGTAATTCGTTTAATCCTGATAAGTACTTAGTAGGAACTTACTAGGATTAGCAGGAACTTCTCAAACGTCATTTCACTAATGGGAAACTTAATAGGTTTAGCCGTATTAAGCGAAAACTTATCAGGATTAGCCGTATTAGCAGGAACTTAACAGGATTAGCAGGAATTTAAACATATTCCTAGTAGTATTAGCGGGGTTTTTTTTCTCGGGTTTAACATTTAGACTTCAAAAAAATTATATTAATTTAAGCAACTACCTTATTCAAAATCATGTTTTGTTTAGCTTTTTCCAACCATCGTTCCATTGATCTCCAAAATCCCACTTAATTCTTCGTTAATTTCACGCATTCGATTAAAAATTATTTCCAATGCATCTCTAATATTAATTTCATTATTTAAAGTTTTTATTCCGCGATATCTTGCCTTTATCATGCTAAAAAATTCCTTAATGGGATTTAATTGAGGAGACCATGCCGGTAAATATTCTTTATTTATTCTTAATTCATTTAAAACTTCTATAATACTTCTTGATCTGTGAAATGGAACATTATCCATTATCAGTATATGGTCTCGGTTTTGTCGGAAATAATTACACAGGTTATTTCTATTAAATCTTTCAAAGCTTTCAGCATTATAAGCTCCAGTTCTTAATTCATAAGCAACCACACCAGAAATATTTATTGTACACATCAAACTTCGATTTGTATTTCTGTTTCCGGAAACAATGGAATATGCCTTTTCATTTTTTTGGGAATACCCATATCGTCTTCTCAAATGCTGATTAAATCCTGATTCGTCTAAAAAGACCAATTTATTACTAGAAATACGCGAGATACGGCGGGCATATATGGCCCTTTTTTCAATATTTGCTGGGGAATTTTGTTATTCGGGAACCAATGAAAGCCTTTTTCGCGTTATATTTATTTTCCGCGATTTCTTTGATACTGTTGATTGAGATATTACCATACCGGTTGCTGCATTAACTTCATTTACCATTTCATTTTGTGTGAGTTCATTATTTATTGCTATCGTATTAAATAAAGTATTTTCGATTTCACTGAACAACAAATTTTTGTTTTGGATTGTTTGCTTGTGGCATTCTCCCTTAGTAGCAAATTTGATTCCTTCTTGATGATTTCTTATGCAGTTTCTTACAGCACTTTGGCTAATGTTTAAAGTTTCGGCAATGTATTTGGTTGAATGATTATTTATCGAATTAGACAATGAATGAAACAATTATAAATAATTGTTTCATGAATTTCCTTAGTTATCGTTATTCGACTTTTTCTTGCCATGTAAGGTTTTAAATTTTTATTTTTTAACATTAATTTAAAAAACTTGCATTAATTAGATAAAAACGTTACTGATTTGGTATATGTTTTTCAGCCAGTTAGTCATTTAATTTTTAATTACAATTTAATATTGTATTTTATATTAATATTGTATTTTAATTCCTATGCATTCTTAGATGATTCTGAAAATAACCTGTACTATTATAATGGCATTTAATTATTGTTAAATAAAGCACTTTATAATTTTGCATAAAGCACTTTATAATTTTGCATAACCCTGTAAATATGTGTTTTTTGTAATAAATAAAAAACTATTGATCCCAAAATTATTTTGAAAAAATTGCTGAAGTAACGCGTTTGTTTTGAAAAATCTTAATCAAACGGCATCGTTTCCATAAGCAAAATTAAAGAAACATGATGTTTTTTTTTCTGTCTGTCTTAAAAAAATGCGCGCACATTTGTCGATTTGTTGCACCCTGTATCCTATTAACTTTTTAATAAAATTTTAAATTTGCACCACAAAATCTTATTAAATTTCATTACCCTTTCCCACACTATGGATCCACCCTTGTATTAGCCTATTTATTCATGGGAAGGAATGATAAAGATTATTAGAGCTGTGATTTTTTCACTTTTGCTTCCAATTAAGTTTAAATTAATTAATACGTGTTTTGATTTTTTTTCTGGTTTTTCCTTTATTTATTTTATCATTCTTTAAATATTTTACTTTTTCCGGTTAGTTTTTGTTATATATAACAATTTAAGGATTTTATTCTCTTATTCTTTATTGTTTATTTTAATTTGCTTTGTTTTTTTTTAGCGCAATTTTTAAATGCGCTAATTAACAAAATTTGCAATGAGCCGTGGTCAAGTTGTTAAACAAAGAACTATATGCGTGGTCATATAAAGCGTCCGATCGCACGCCTCTTACGAGAAGGCCTGATGTAACAAATTTTATTCAGCATTATCGTATTATTATAATAAGATAACTCTGAATAAAATTTGTTCCTGGCTAACGCCCTGTCTAAATAAATAGTTATTTAAAAATTAAATTTGAAAAATAATGTTTTTGTTAGAGGAAGCAAGACTGCTCCAATATCCTATCTATGATTCATCGAATGACTTTTCTCTGCCAACATTGACAGCAAAAAAATTTAGTAATATAGTGTTGCTATTTAATTTTACTTTTTTGTCAATCAATTGTTCACATTTTAAAATTATTATATAATTGTTAAATTAGTTAAAATGTTTAATTGCTTTAGAAGAACAACAATATAAAAATTATGTAATAAACCAAAACCAGCAAGATGTCTTGCATAGTCTATCTGATAGCAGAAACGATACTCTATTTGTAGACAAAGGTAAGGATATATTAGCAAAACAGATTTGTGAAATGTTCATTATTACAGGTGAGAGGTGATATATATATATATATATATATATATATATATATATATATATATATATATATATATATATATATATATATATATATATATATATATGTATATATATATAGTATATATACTATAAATGTATATATATATATAACAGGTCAGGTAATCCTTATGTCAAGTCAGTTTATCCTCCTACTGGTAACATGTAATCCGGTGCAACCTGCTTCATGTTAATGTCAGGAAGGGCATCATGGGTTAAATTGCGCTATTTTAAATTTAAATTTAAAATAAATTTGAATTTAAAATAAATTTAAATTTAAAATAAATTTAAATTTATTTTAAATTTAAATTTATTTTAAATTTAAATTTATTTTAAATTTAAATTCATTTTAAATTTAAATTTATTTTAAATTTAAATTCATTTTAAATTTAAATTTGTTTTAAATTTAAATTTATTTTAAATTTAAATTTATTTTAAATTTAAATTTATTTTAAATTTAAATTTATTTTAAATTTAAATTTATTTTAAATTTAAATTTATTTTAAATTTAAATTTATTTTAAATTTAAATTTATTTTAAATTTAAATTTATTTTAAATTTAAATTTATTTTAAATTTAAATTTATTTTAAATTTAAATTTATTTTAAATTTAAATTTATTTTAAATTTAAATTTATTTTAAATTTAAATTTATTTTAAATTTAAATTTATTTTAAGTTTAAATTTATTTTAAATTTAAATTTATTTTAAATTTAAATTTATTTTAAATTTAAATTTATTTTAAATTTAAATTTATTTTAAATTTAAATTTATTTTAAATTTAAATTTATTTTAAATTTAAATTTATTTTAAATTTAAATTTATTTTAAATTTAAATTTAAAATAAATTTAAATTTATTTTAAATTTAAATTTATTTTAAATTTAAATTTATTTTAAATTTAAATTTATTTTAAATTTAAATTTATTTTAAATTTAAATTTATTTTAAATTTAAGTTTATTTTAAATTTAAATTTATTTTAAATTTAAATTTATTTTAAATTTAAATTTATTTTAAATTTAAATTTATTTTAAATTTAAATTTATTTTAAATTTAAGTTTTAATAGAATATATTCTAATTTTGTCTTTTATTAAATAGATCAAGGTGAGTCATCAAAAAACTTTAACTATAAAGGAGGTAGACCGTAAAATCCTACTAACGAAACATATCCAATGGATAATGCCACATTTCAGCGTAAAATAATAATGTCACAACATCAGTTGAAAATGAAAATAACCAAGATTGAAAAAACTGTCAATATGGCTGTTGGTCTTTTACAACAGCTTTTTGATAAAGGTTCAAATGTAGTTACGCTTGATCAGGTTACCTTAATGGACGACCTGATAAAATTCGAGATCCATCTTAAAGACAATATAATAAAAGAAAAGTTAACGCGGAAATTTGAAGCAATGGGACCTGTCTGCAAAGATTCAAAAGCGCATTGCTATGCAATTTTAGATTCACTTATGACCGAGGAAGTGCAATCTAAAGTTAATGTTATGTATGGTAATCACGTGCCAAATAAAAATTATACTGACCATTTGTCATTAACACACGACTTGCCTTTGATTTTTTTTTCCATTCTCGTTAGTTTTATGGAAGGCACCAGAAAAACTTTTGAAATCCTTTTTGAGTGAAAGGTTGAAGCAAGGTATGAGAAGAGCTCATGCTGCCAAAAGAGATTAAACTGTATATTCTTTATTTTTTATATTTAGTTTTTTAGTTGGTATATTTATATTGTTAATGGTAAAAAAGCTTGGAAGAAATTGTAATATAATTTAGGTTTTTGTTAAAAAAAATGTAAGTAAATTATAATAAAAACGATCATATTTTAGATGAAGTCAATCGAAGTTTAGAGAATTTATATATGTTGATTGGTAAAAGGTCACCAATCAAAAGTTAAAAAAAAAGTAGTTTGCATGATTGAAATCTTAGTATAAATTCCGTAGCAGGCTTTAATAAATCTTTTGTGAAGTCTACGTATTTTTGGTTTACACTTTGATCGCGTTATACACGTGTATGTTTTAGATTTAATTTCCGTATTGAAACCTCATAAGACTCGTATTTATAACCTCATAAAGCCCGTGTTTAAAAAATAAAATAAACTCGTGTTTGAAACCTCAGAAAACACGTGTATAACTCCAGTTCAACTTCCCGTGAAATCCACGTGTTTTTGGTTTACGCCTGGATTGTAACAATTACGTGTTTATACGGGTTTTAATTCCGAGATTAAAACTAGATGTGCCGGCTGTGTGGTTTCATAAATCAGTTAAGTGTACATTTATCACATCTATTTTTCTTCAGAATGAAGTTCACATAAAACAATGTTTTGTTGGAATCCAACCTAAATGATTAACAAATTGTATCCAAAGACTTTGGCAAAGTTGATTTAAGTTTTGGTCCTCTTAATTTCCACCTCAAAAATATAAGATAAACGGACGTAAATATAAACTGGTATTTTAAATCGTGAAATTTTTTTCTGTATAACTTAGCATTTTCTTGTCTCTTTTTGGCTTGATCATTGATATTTTTATCAACCTTTGTTTTGAATGAAGGTATTGTAAAACCTGTAACGCGATTAAACATGAGTGTAGATGGTGGTATTTGAGTTGTGCTATGGGGTGTGGTACGGTAGGAAAACAGGAAGTTGTATAATTGCTTTTTCCGTTAAATGTGTGCTGCTCGTATTGTTTTAATCAGTGGTTTCATAAAGGATTCGGCTTGTGAGTTTACTTGCTGCCAAGCGGGGTGATTTGTTTATGTTGAATATTCAGTTTGTTCAAAAACATCTTTATTTTGAATGAAGTAAAAGGTAGTCCATTATTGCTGACAATCGTTTTCGGTATTCCATATACTGCAATTGTTTTCTGTAGAAAATCAATAAGGAGGTCAGCAGATGTATTATGTATAATATTGACAACCGGAAATTTTGATGTTTGGTCTATAAGAACTACCAAAAAAAATCCATTAGGTAAAGGACCAAGGTAATCTATATTAACGGTGTCCCAAACTTCCTCTGGTGTTGGTGTGATTAATAGTTCGGCTGGTGCATTTTGTTTACCAAGGGCTTGACAAATTGCACATCGTCTTATATATTCTTCTACTTTAGTATCTAGACCAAGAAAGTAAACTTTTTCTCTAAGTAATGATTTGGTTTTCTCAAGTCCCATGTGACTATTATGAGCAAGCTGTATAACCGTAATTTCCAGAGAATGTGGAAGTACAATTCTATTTGCTTTAAGAATAAGGTCTGAAGTCTGATTTACTGTAAGTTCTTGGCGTATATTACGGTAAGCAAGTAAGTCTTTTTGAAATTTTTTTAGTTCTGGCGGACAATTCGGATGTAATAGTTTATGCCAGGTATTAGTAGTAATTAACTCTGTAAGTATTTGTAAAATAGGATTGGCTTTAGTTTCTCTTTGAATATCCAGTAGTGAAAGGGCTTTAGGACATGCTTATTCAGCTGTAAAATTGACATATTTTTCTAGCCCTTTGTCCTCACAAGGGTCTACAGGGTGTCGACTAGAATAATCAGATATATTACTTTTTCCTATTACGTAATGTAGACCAAAAGAATATCCCTGTAATTGTAAAATCATACGCTCAATGCGAAGTGGTACTGTAGCGTTTGGGTTGTTTAAAATCTTTACAATAGATTCATGGTCGCTTTACATTTTAAAAGGGTGTCCAAATAGGTATGTTTTTTTATGCTCGCAGGCGTATACTATAGCTAAACATTCTCTTTAGAGCGTAGAGTAGCGTTGTTGTAAAGGCGATAGCGCTTTCGAATTATAAGATATTTGTTTAAAATCTTGTTTCTTTGGAGTGTTTTGAACAATGACTGCCGATATGCCTGCAAGGCTTGCATCGGTGAAGACAGTAGTCTCTTTGTTGGGATCGAAGTATCCGACACATGAGTCCAAAATCATAGCGTTTTTTATTTTGTCAAATACATGCTGACACCAAAGTTCCAGTTCCATAAGGAATCTTTATGCGGAAGGTTTCTCAATGGATAAGTAAATATACTGTAGTGTAGAATGAAACGTTTAAAAAAGTTCATAACCCGAGAAAACTTTGGAGAGCTTTAGTGTTTTCTGGAGTTGGCATTTTCTTGATATTATAAAGTTTTTCCGGATGTGGTTGCATTCCTTCTTTTGAAAATATAAATTTATAAAATTTGACTTTTTCTTTTCCAAATAAGCATTTTTCAAAATTTAGAGTAAAACCTCTCTGTTTAAATCTTTCTAATACTTAATGTAATATTAAATCTCTTTTGTGTTCGAAGTGAAAATTAGAACATCGTCGGCAATGTTCAAAGTACCTTCTATAGCTTTTAAAACTTCTCGTAAAGCGTTTTGTAGTTCCTCCTGCGCGGAGTTTACTCCAAAATTAAATCTTTTAAAACATTTAATTTGAGTTTCGGATTGAAAAGTAGTTATTGATCTGGATTCCGGTGCAAGTTCGAGCTGGTGAAATGCCTTCATTAAATTTAGTTTCGAGAAAACGGCGGAGTTTTTTAGTTTTATAATAACATCGTCCAGGGTTGAAGTTGGAAAACGCGTTCTTCCAATAGCTTTGTTAGCTGCTCGAAATTTGGTTTGACTTTCTATCACGAAATTAATCTGTCCTTCTATTTTGAGCTTTGGATTGTTATCCCCGTAAGTAATAATCTGTGCTTTAGATTTTTGTAGTCGAAGTGGTCTTTTAAGGAAGTTGTTTATCTTTTCAAATGATTTAAAGTTTAGAATGTTTATCGAAGCTCCGGTATATAACAGAAAAAAGCCTGTTGAAAGCTTTTTTCTGTTTGAGAACTTCTAGACATGGAACAAACTTGTAATGATCGGAATGTAAGAAACAAGATATTTTGTCACCCCTGCCCTTTAGGCTAAAGTAACTTGTTCATACGTTTTCTGCTTACCATTATAAACCTAATTTCAAGGAAAAATTTCTTGCAAGTGATTATTTCAAACTATATACGGTCATTATTTTTGATAATGACAAAGGTATGGCAAGTGATATGGCGTTTCATATAATACCTTTTTAAGGTAAAGGTAACAAAAGAGGAAAAGCACTTAGGGTTTACCTTGTTCCCTGGCTCTGATCATCCCAATATTTGCCATTGCCTCTCTATTTCACATAAACATTAAAATATAAATGTTTTGCAAAATTGTTTCTGAAAACTAGTTTTTTAGTCAAAAAAAAGCTTCCTTCCCTGTATCCTGGTAAAGGAAGTCAAAAAAGTTGAAAATCTTTAGTTCAACCTTTATATCCGTATGTGTCTCATTAAAAGTTTAAATAAAAAATTGTTATAAGTTTAAGGTGGTATCCAGCCATTATTTTGGTAAAAAATAAAAAATAAAAAAAAAAAGATGAAATTTTTGCGGTACAAGACGAGTAAGACGTATTTTTTTTTTTTTTTGAGAATAACTTTATTTACAATAAAAATGGAAATAAATATTGAAAATATAGAAAAAATTATCATAAGTAAACTAGAAAAACAAAAAAAAAGTATACTAGCAGAAACAGAGAGATTACTCAAAGATCATGAAAAACCTCACTACAATAATAAGTTCGAACTTCAAAATAATAACAGCAAGGTTAGACAAAATGGACGCTGAAATAAACAACATTAAGTTAAATATCCGAAGAATTGAAAATGAAGTTAACGAAATCAAAGTCAGCTTTCCAAGAAGAGAAAGCTAGGGATGAATTTATTCTCATAAAAACAAAATATGATAATGAAATTTTGATGCTGAAAAAAAAATCTATTGACTTAGAGAATCGCTCGAGACGTAACAACTTACGTATCGATGGCATTAAAGAAACCCCTGAAGGAAACTGGGGTGATTGTGAGAAGGCTGTAAAAGACATCTTTAAACATATTATGTGAAGTAGTTGTGGAACGAGCGCACCGAGTTGGTGCAGTTAAAGATAATAAAATACCAAGAACAATCGTTTTAAAGCTTTTGAATTATCATGATAAAAATAAAATATTAAGCTCAGTTAATAAACTTAAAGGAACCGGAATTTGATGAAGATTATGCGATGTTGGAAAGAAGCTTTGGGAAGAAGTTAAATGGTTACGAAACGAAGGTAAATTTGCAATTATTAAATTTGATAAAATTTATTGTAGAGATTTTAGAAAGTAAACGCGCAAGTTATATTAGGCGAAGTTTTATTAAGTTATTTTAACGATTTTAAGTTAATGACTAACTTAACAATAGATTTTGAAAAATTACCTCTTTCAAATCTGCAAATGTTTTACTTAATGATATTTCTGACGCTGATTTGCATTTTTTTAACGAAAACAATTTTAGTTCATCCTTTTTTGAAATAAAAACTTTTAAAAGCGAATTAAAAACCTTAGAAAGTAATTTTACTGTAATACACATTAACATAAGAAGTATGAATGAATCAGTATTTTTTAAAATGGCTGATTTGCTTAAAACCCGTTTTTGACAAAAGTAAAATAACTATTTATATCTTTATGTTACTCTTGCATATATTTATAAATATATGCAAGAGTAACATCTTAGTACACTTTGATAATTGTTATAACATTTCGTTTGTTAATAATTAATATATGAAAGTTCCAAAAATTTGCCCTTTTAAAAAAAATCGAATATTTCAGGAAGGAAAACAAATTAAAACTCCGTAAGAACTACAGCTATGTACTTTAAAACAATATTTTAACGTACAATATTTTAACAAATATGAATTAATAACAAAAAAAGCTCTCAGTAAGCAGTAAGTCTCAGCATAT